CCCCCCCCCCCGGGCCCCCCCCCCCCCCCCCCCCCCCCAGGCACTCCGAAACCACCTGTGCCCCTGGCCTCTGGGTCCCCTCCTTCCTGCCTCTCCTTCCTCCCCCGCTGCCTTTATCACTGGCTCCTCTTTCTCCACTCACCCTTTACAACTTGTCTCTCTGAGGTTTCCTCCCCATCCTCTTCCTCGTCTTCCTCCGCCTGCGTTGTCTGAGCCATACCCAAGCATTTAACCACTTCACCATCAGAGCTTCTCAACTTTACTGTTTCTTGCCTCCTGTGGTGCACACACAGTGTGTATCAATACTGTCTCTCCTTTCAGACAATGATGCTTAAGCCAGGACGGATGTCACCAAAGTTGAGGAGAAGCAAGGACCAAATCTTGGGCCATGAAGGGGATGGGGAGTTTGGAAAGAGCACACGACCCCCTGAGACGGCGATCTGCCCCTGGTCTTCCTGCCTAAGCACACGGCTGTAGAGCGCCTGGGAGGGCACCCGGACCCGCTCTAGCGGCGCTGGACGCGGAGAAGAGAGACATATTCACACACTGCTCTGTGTGATTTACACATCCAGACTCACCCTCCCTCCCCTGAGCTCTAGAGGCTTCTATTTTTAGCTTTCTATTGAGTAACTCTACTTGGGTGGCCTACAGGTACTACAATTGTTTTACACGTATTCATTTAACTGGATTACTGTGCTGGAAATCTCCAATCTGGAAAGGAACCTGATGAGGGGAAATGGTACCTAGTTGTGGTTGTCACTAATCTTTCCTTCAAGACGACGTTGTCAGGTGGAGTTCCTAGCTCTCATAGCTCTTTGTTTATTTTTCTGTTATGTACTTACCTTATGACTCTTTGCTTACAACTCACTCCTAGCTACCAGACCATGACTGCCTTTGAGTCCCCAGTCCCTGGCACAGCTTCCAGCTTCCAGCAGACGCTGAATAAGGATTGCTGGATGAAAGCAGATAGCGCTGTGTTTACACCACGGATAGGGCAGCACAGACAAAGGAAAACACAATTCTGCGTGAGATCAGAGACGGATTCCCAGGAGGTGATGGTGAGACTGAAAGGATGAACAGAATTTCAGCAGGAAAAGAACAGGAGCGCCTTCCAAGCAAAGCCGTTCAAGGGCAAAGGCAGGGGGACAAAGGTCAGTGTGCGCAGACATCAAGTAATCTTGTGTGGCCAGAGTGTACCTGCTTGGTGGGGACGCCATGAGACCGAGTTAGGAAGGTAGGTAGGAGCCAGGAACCCGTGAAAACAAGGCCAGAGAGTTCTGACGTGAGATCCAGTCGCTATCAGCATGCCACTGAAGGTGTTTAGGCAGGGAGATGACATACCAACCCAACTCAACTTTCAGTATCACTAAAGGTGGACCGTCTTTGTATCTTAGTTCTTAGAGGCACTCGTGTTTTGAATCTCCCCCTACCTCCAACCTATTAAAAAGAGGTGAGGAAAATACTGTGCCCATTTTTGTTGGAGGTTGGAGAGTCGGGGAGCTCTGAATGGCTAGATTTTGAAATCTGAGAAAGTCAAGTTATTTCTGATAAGATTTTTTGTTTGTTTCAGTCTTTCCTCTAAACCCTTAAAAAAAAAATCAGAGCACAGGAAACAATGCTTCACCTGATTAGAAAAAAAAATTCTTAGAATGTTACACCTTCATTTCCTGTTTTCTACCTGTGTTTTTGGCTAACTTTTTTGGAGGGACTATAATTTCAAACAGAAAAGTTTTAAGAATAGTACAAGGGCCCTAGCAGGTTTGGCTCAGTGGATAGAGTGTCAGCCTGCAGACTGAAGGGTCCCGGGTTTGATTCCGGTCAAGGGCACAGGCCCAGGTTTCGGGCTCGATCCCCAGTGTGGGGCATGCAACAGGCAACCGATCAATGATTCTCTCTCATCATTGATGTTTCTATCTCTCGCTCCCTTCCTCTCTGAAATCAATAAAAATATATTTTTTAAAAAGAATAGTACAAGGAATTCCTGTATACTCTTTACCCAGAGTTACCATTACTTACATTTTTGCCTATTTTAAAAATCAGTCTCTATTTTTATATATATACTTCCCCCCTGAATCACTGAGAGTAAGATGTGTGCCCCCTTAATTCCCCAATACTTCAGTGTGTAAGAATACCATTTTCTAACTTAACCTACACTACAATGAACAAAACCAGGAAATTTAACATTGATATAATACTATTATCTAAATCAGAGTCTCTATTCAAATTTTCTGTTATCCCAATGTCCTTTATAGCTATTTTCTCTTCAACTTTTTTTAGATTGTTAAATTATTTGCCTTTTGTTCCAAGATAGTTCAATAATCTTTATAGTCTTGTTATATTTTCTTCACTTATCACATTACTGCATATTTGATACAGCTTAAAAGGATGGATTGATGAACTACTACAGTAACTGTAAACAAGTTTGAACAGTCTTTAAGTCTATCCCATCAGACCAGTATCAGGCTCCATAATCAGACTTTTCTAGATTTAAACTCTGGCTCCCCTACGTTTGCTTTGCTTCCCTTTTGGTTTCCTCAACTATAAAATCCTATCCTATATAATAAAAGCCTAGGTGGCGTTGCGCTACATCATCACAAGATGGCCACTGTGAGGTCGCCACAAGATGGCCACCCCCCCGTCATCACAAGATGGCCGTCACAAG